CGACTTAACAATTGTTGATAAAACAAAAAAGTCTGGATTGTGGACATTGCAATACCTGAAGACAGCAGAATAGAAGAGAAAGAACTGGAGAAAATCACAAAATACAGAGACCTGCAAATAGAAATAGAATAACTGTGGCAAAAGAAAGCAAAGATAGTACCAATAGTAATAGGCACCTTAGGCGCAATCCCAAAACATCTGGAGCACTATTTAAACATCATCGGCGTTGACAAAATCACCCTCAGTCTTGCAAAAGACAGCTTTATTTGGAACAGCTTAAATCCTGCGACGATACCTTTAATGCGATCAAACAACATCTGCCTATCCCAGGTCCTTGGGAAGGACTCAATAGGTGGATAAAAATGCCAAATCCAGTCTAAACATCTGGATGACTGCGTGACCAACCATAATACCCAAGAGGATAGCCAGAGGTCATCAGCCTGGTGGGCTGGGCCACAATGACCTCACTGCCTCCCTCTCCATAGCAGCACCGGGAGGCCCCAGGTGTCCCCAGGGAATGGAATTGCAGGGATGTGCCGGGGATCCCCGCTGCTATAAAGTAGGGTTTGCTTGAGGACAAGAAATGAGTAAGAAAAAGCATAATTCTAGACATGCCCCCAAACTCTGAATCAAATGAAAGACCAGAGAAAGCACTGGCTGAATTAGGTGAAAGGAGAAACATAACCTATTTCTTAAGTAAAAAAGGAAGCTCAGAAGCAAGGAATATTTGTGAATCTGGCAAAATGGGGACGAGGAAGCAAGAGAAGAAAACAGGAACAAAGAGAATGAGACCTAATGGCTGTCATCCAAAAAGAAGAAAAGAAGCAGCAAGGTGCCAAAAGAAAAGCCAAAGAGACGGACAATAGAAGGAACTGCGTCAAGGTGCGGGCAAGGATGGGCCACACAAGCGTCCGCGGCAGGCCTCTAAGCACCTCCACAGAAGCCACGAGAACAGGAAGCCGGAGACCAGGGCAGTGCCAGTCCCCTCCGGAGGGCTTCCAAGGTACCGGCTGCCTCCTGGCCCTTTGCCTCCCACCTCTACACCTTTGCAACACCCCCAAAGTCAAGGCAACTCTCACTGTATAAGCAAGGTGAGACTGTGAACTGCCGTGCCTTGGTCTGGGGTGGACGGCCAGAAGGTAGGTTTGGTATCTGACCTCCTTATCGTTTTGGCAGCAAGACACTACCAGGGATCTATTTTTAACTGGTGCCTCAGTGGATAAGAAAGGGGTCGTGGCTTCCATAATGATCTTTGGAAAAGCTGCCAAATGTGAAATTAAAACGGGGGCATGGCATATGTATTGTCCCAATATGCCTTTGTCTCAGACTAATTCTGAATGGCCATTGCTGGTATTATTGTCGATACTGTTGTCCTGTTCTCTTCTATCGTTTCTCTTCTGTTTACTCCCCAGAGGCCCTTTGGATTGGAGTGCATCATCAATATTGTTAAATAAATAATTAAATGGAAATAACTATTCCTTTCAGCATCAGGAAAACTCCTTGGGAGGGATATGCTTGTCTTTCTCACTGAAGGACACAGTGCCACCAAGACCAAGTTCATGGCTAAGAGAGGACAGATTTCTACTGATGTCACCTTTCCATTTATGATAGGCATTCAGAAAATTTTAAAATTGAGCAGAGGACCTGTCTGCTAAAACATGCAGTCAGATGGTGGCACTTGATGTATTGGTTTGTAATCTCACATTACCAAAAACTTCCTGGCAATCCCACACAAAACTAGACAGAAAGCCTCTTTGTGCCTTGTTCTGCCACATTAATTCATCCTGGCACCTCTGCAATGCTGACAGATCAGAGGGCATGACTGACTCTGTTGGGCACAGATGAAGAGCTGTGTTAATCAAGGGAGCTGGAGTCCCAAGTACTTTTTCATTCTTTGTAACCAGAAACATTACTTGCCAGGATAATAAAAGGAAGTGCTTCTCCTCGCATCTGAGAATCCATCCCCATTTCTTTCTTCCTTATCAAGTGCATTCAGAGATGATTCAAGGTGTTCACAGGACATGCTTGAGTACCTTCCCTCTCCTGGAGTGTTTGGGGAGCAAAACTGGAAGCAAGAAGGTGTGCAGAACAAAAAAGGTCTTCATAAGGAGGCCTTTTCTCCTGGATTTGTTACTCAGACTATCCTTGCTGGAGGGTGAAAGTACAGGTAGTCCTTGTTTAGCAACCACAACTGGGGCCGTTAAGCAAAGCAGTCATGAAGTACAACCACGACTGTGCTTACAATCTTACTTCAACTTTCCTTTGCTTTACAGACCAGCGAAGATCGTAAATGGTTGCAAAGTTACTTTTACATCACCATTGTAACTGCGAACAGTCACTAAATGAGGCAGTCACTGAACGAGGACTACCTGGAGCTGAGAAAATGAGATGGGGTGAATTTTCCAGTATTCTGCTCATGCCAGTTTTATTTGTTACTAAAATTGGTTTATACAGCGAGCTGCTTTAGGAAGACAGCAGTCTTGAAATGAGCCAAACAATGGAATTAACCAATTAGCTAACTACGACAGAAGTAAAACAGAATGCCGCCCTTGCCAGCCTCATCCACTTTTGTTCTTCAGGAATCAAGAGGGGGCCCATCCTTTGATGTACATCCAATAATTGCGGTAACCTGGTTGAGGGTTGCAAGGCAGGCTACAAAGGCATGCATTTGGGGGGTGGAGGATATTATTTCCATGTAAAACACAGGATGCAAAGCCCAGTGAAATGCCATTGCACTCAGACTTGGAGAAAGTTTTTGCATCCGTTGATGGCACCATTCAGTAGGGCACCCAGCAGCCCTGGCATTCTCCTTTCAGGCAGCCGCCCTTCACTTAGCATTCCAGCTGCTCCCCTCAGTCCAGAAAATCCCTTGGTAATGTTGCATTTTGTGGGACTGGGGACGTTCTCACAATGGCCCTGCCTCTTCTTCCAAATTAGGCTCCCTCTCCTTGCTCCTGCAGGGGATGATGGAGAAGAGGCCTTCTGCTCTTGCTTCGAGCCCAGCCTCTGCTGGAGAGCCAGGAGCTGTGGGAATACCTTGTGCGGGGGGGGGGGGGCATGGCTGACTGCACATGGAGAAACAACAGTCTTGCCATGAAAGGGGGTGGGGCCAAAAGGGCAGCCGCGCTCCTTGACCCCACTTCGGCCTAGAAGAGCACTTGGTACGTGTGCGATGGATACATTTGGTCGTAAAAGCAGACCACTGACCACCTCTCAGCTGCCAGCAGAAGGCACGGACGCTCCCTCAGCAGAAGGACTCCTCCACGGGTGCCTTCATGCTTCCCCTTTCCTGTAGGGAACTGCCATGTGGTCAGCTTACCTTTGAAGGGGAAATCCCTCCAGATCTATGGGCCACTGAC